ATAAAACTATAAGCCGTATACAGTGTGTATATTATATACATGAGTTAACGAATTTCTCATATCACTTGAAGCTTTTATGCATATTGAAAGTTCATGTAAAAATAATTTTATTTTGAATAAATTATGAGACGTATTTCTTTTTTCTTCTATATTTATCTTAGATGTAAGAAATGTATAAATAATCTACAATCTATATAAAATTTATACATACGTAAGAGAGGAATATACACAAGTTTATTCAATTTTTTGTTTTTTCAATAGTTTAAATGAGGGTTTATCACTGTCATAAGATCTACTTCATATAATCTAAAACAGAAAATGTTTATTTTTCATATATCATGATAGAAAATTCACCTCTGAAAAGAAGTAGAACAAAATATCTCCAATTTCAAAAACTTTTGATGTTTAAAGTTTGTGTTAAGAAGAGGTATCCATATTTTCTTAAAAAAAATTAGGGGCTTGATATATAGGACATTTTAAGTCTCCTAAATACCATTATAAAGACTCAATTGCATTCACATAAATAAGTCTGCCAAGTACTCCTCGAATTCTTTCTCTCTTGTCTTTTCTATATCTTCCGTTGGTTTTTCCTTCCAGATATTTGACTCCGCAATAGTATTCTCGGTGTTAGTTTCTGTTTCACATGTACTTGAGTCTATTTCTGTCTGGTTCTCTGATTCTACTTTACCAGATGTAGTAGGCACGTCATTGTTGCTGTCGGCATTCGTACCGAGACGTTTCAAACATTTTTTCGCTTTGACCTCACGCTTTTGTGAACTATAATTGAGTTTTACAGAACATTCTACACATAGTCCTGAATACGAAGAAAATGTTATTATATACATAATTTGTGTGGTTGTATCTTATTAATATAAAACTAATCTCTACTCAATCGTGACATACTTAATTTTACTAAGGCGTTTTTCTTCTCTCCATGTTCCACATAACCGAAATTAAGTTCCCAAGAACGCAAATCCTCCTTCTCATTGCAAGTTTTGCTCCCACATTCAAACTGTCCCTTTCCAACTATTACTTCCTTCTCAGTCCTCCATCTTAGAGCAACCTACACATCATACGAAGAATATTAAGCGGTATAATTAAACATATAATTGTTTCCTCAATACAAAAGTGTGATACAATATCGAAATAGAACAATAGAGAATATTACGTACTTTATTATACTTATAATATGTAAGATCACATATACAATATTCCTTGAATAATTTATCATAGTATTTCTTCGCTAATCTGGCGCCCCATGTGTCTGGCACATCTTTGTCTTGATCCCACAGAAATTTGTGATTCTCCCTGATGACATCGTAATCAGTTTTGTCCCGGGACCTCGAAACAGGTCGAAATGTCAGGAGCTGCTTGTTTTAAAGTTTACACAGTTATAATTTTCACGCGATACTTGTTAAAATTGTCACGAGAAATCATCACAGATATCTACTGAGTGTGTCATGTATATATATAAAGTTTGCATCATGTGTCCTCACCAATGTGATTGACAGAATATGTTGAAAGAGTTCGACTGAATTTTGTTAAAGAAACACGCCGTGTATTTAATAATTTCAGGAGGGAAAGGAAAATTGGAGAAAAATCGAGAAAATAGAGTCAAAAGAGAACAGATTTAAACGTGTGATATGCAAAGAAATGTATCTTTCGATAAATTGTAAACCGTTCGATCACAAAATGAAAAATTTAACATACGTGTCTCGCTTTAGTGAAGATATGGATTTCCCATGTAGCGTCAAGTAATCGTTTATAAGCTTCTTGTGCCTGTCGTAAGCCGACAAATGGTCGTACGCTGGAAACATCGCTGTTAAATCTGACTCGGTTCTACCGAAAGTTATCTCTTGATAGTGGCACTGATTGGAAAACGTCGACTTTTGACTGAGACAGAAAGAAGATTGAGAGAGGTTATGGGCTTGATTTCTGTGACCCTTGTACTGGAAGCGCCTCTAAGAACTATTCAGCTAATATCCACAAATTTTTCTCGGTGGGTAACACTCTGTGTTTAGGATTTTAATTCTGTACCGCATGATACCTAACCACAGAGAGAAATGTGATGTTTATTTTATTTTGAGTGCCGGAAGTATAATATTGTACAGTTAAGAAAAGGCAAACCTGTGATTGAAATGTCCATTTTCAAGATTTCATTCATTATTGTTTTGATTGCCATTGCGAGTGGCAATGAATTTGAATTTTGTGAAGTACCTGATAAATATACTGACAGCTCAGAAAAGTGTACCGCTCGAAATTATTTTACGCAGAAACGGTTCGGAATTGTTACCAGGGTTTTATTTTTAACAATATCAATTCAATCTATAAATACATTAAAGTTTGATTCACCTAGTTGAAAAACTATCATTCACTCTTAACATTTAAGTTTGCCTTTGTGTATACAAATATTCATAATTTTCCTTTCTTTTACAGTTATATTCTTTACGATGTAAATCCACCAGAGGGTTTCAATCTAAGAAGAGATGTGTACATTCGTGTTGCCATCTTCCTGAAGGGATTGATTAAACGAAACAAAGAGTTTCAGTGGCAATTGGTTTTACCACCATGGGGTAATATTTATGTGCAAAAGAAACATATATACATTTTTTGCAGATTTTATATGGTCTAAATTCCAATTATATGTAACTTGTATAAATGTCTAATGCAGGTAATCTATATCACTGGCGAAGTGAACATATAGGACTGCAAGAACTTATACCATGGGGTGACTTTTTTGATATTGCAAGTTTGCAAAAACACGTGCCAGTTATTGAAATGTACGAATTTATGGAAGGTATCATTTATTTCTCTATTTTTTATCAACTGTAAAATCTTTTTCCTCTTACCGAGTATTAATCTATGTTTAAGAATTATTTCACATTATACAGTAAAGTCTTTACTATTGTATATCAATATATGAATCTTTCATTTTAATTTAATGTAATGAGAATATAAAACGTAAACTGTTTATTTGGCTTTATAATAGTCTGATTACAGAATATTCATCTGGGAGTAAAGAGCTACAAGTTGATTGTGTATACAATTTGCAAAATGATGATGAAATGTTCGAGACGGGTAAATTTGAAGATAAGAATGAAGAGACAGACTGCAGTCGTGATTCTTTACCATATCATAAGTTAGATCATCAAACATATGATGGCCCATTCTGGGGCTATCGCAATATCACAGCCAAGAAGGTGAAATGTCTCAAGTTCCATGGCGTGGCATCTGATCTCTATCAGAATCTCAGACCAACGCAATACAGGTAAAACAAATTTTATCATTTCCATTTTACTTTTTTTCTATGATGACATTAATGGCTCGCTGGCTGTTTGCAGATCTGTAATGTTTGATCACATGGAGATTGCCTTACATGATGAATATGGTTTAAAAGAATACTGGAAGGCTAGACGCAGCATGCGTTATAATACCGAACTGTACAACATGGCAAAAGAATATAGGAGAACTTTTCTTAATTCCACAGATAAGAATGATAAAACAGAACGACCCGTAGACTGGACTAAAGAAAAGGTGTAATTAAAGTAGCAGGCTGAAGACAAATGCGAACATTAATGAAAAATTAAAATAATCATTTTGATATTAATTCATTGTGTATTTATCTGAATTTATAATTTTATCTAATTATGTAATTATGTAATTTCAGAGTCGACGAAATGTAAAAGGTGGTCCGTACTTGGCAGTTCACTTGAGGAGACGTGACTTCATTCTCGGTCACAAGGATTCCATATCGACAATAGAAAGTGCTGCTTCTCAATTATCGGAAAAAATGGACGAGCTTGGATTACATGTGCTGTTTGTTGCGACAGATGCTGTACCACAAGGTATACAATCTGTAAATACGACTATTGTACAAGTGTTTCAAATTACAAGGAATCTTTCTGTTATTACAGATTTTTTGTTGATGTGAAATCAATTTTTTTCCACAAAAATATTAACAAATATAAAAGACTTAAAAATATAAAAAGACTTCTGAGAAACTATAGTAACTGTAAAGATATTTTTTATATAGTTAAAATGGTTAAATCTGCATATTTAAATATTTATTGTTATTTAAGACAATATATATTTCCAGAATTTGAACAACTTAAGTCGTATTTAGCTCGGTACAAAGTTTTGAGATACGTACCATCTTTGTCCGAGTTAAAACAATTTAAAGACGGTGGGGTAGCCATCGTTGACCAAATAATTTGTTCGCACGCCAGGTGAGAATATCCTTTTCTTTATACTCTTGTGCGCAACACGTTTGTATAAAAAAATATTATAAGCTTATATATTTTTTCGTTAGATATTTTATAGGAACGCACGAGTCAACTTTTACATTTAGAATACAAGAAGACAGAGAGATTATGGGTTTCTCCTCGAAGACTACATTCAATCGTTTGTGTAAGGATAAAAATAAGTGTGCAACAGCTGGGCAATGGCAGATAGTCTGGTGATGAAATATAAAGACTCAGTAATCTTTTTTATACATAAAACAACATCCAATAATTTCCCCACATATTCTTTATTGTAAACGATAGTTATATATATAAATTCACAGCATTTTTATATTCTATATGTATATACATGTACATATTTTTCTCTCATAGAACTTCCACTTCCACTTATATAAGAGCTATTAGTTTTTATCTTTAAAAGTTACATGCTCTCTTAATTAGTCATAGGCCTGGCAATTAACTCTTGTTCTCTGCGTAATTCTTGTTCGCGTTGCTGCTCTTTGTTTAACGCTTCTTTCTGCTTTATTTGTTGCAGACGTAACGCACGTTTCTGTAACTCAAATCTTTCCTGTTAATTTAAATAATAATAATTTACACTGATAATTAAATCAGAGGAATGAAATGAGATGTGATTCACCTTCAACTTAGAAGTCCTCTCATGAATATTGATCATTTCTTTTCTTATTGATGCTAACTTCCCTTGATAAACTTTAATAGTCGCAAACTATAACATATATTCTTTTATGTTTTTTTTTCCTATCAATAAGTCAAAACTCACGAATATTCCGCGAATATCGCCACATATCTCTTACCATATCATTTAAATCTACGTCTTCAAATGTTTCGTTTATCTTTTTGTTTTCGGATTGCATTTGGGCTAGGAGAGTCTCTTGTTTACTTCTGTGGGAGAGAAGACACGGCAAAACGATTAAAAATGAAATCATTGCTACTTTCATTAAAACTGTGCGTGCTCACGTTAATTCCAAGAGTTCTTTCTTAACTTGCTCCAACGGAGGCTGATAAATGCTCAAGAGACCCTCTGCCAACTTTTCCACAGCCTCTGTGAAATCCATCACATCCTCACTAACGAAGAATGAATAATACTGTTAAATCGTAAAACGGGAGTCATTAAAATAATAGCGGTAGTATGGCTTCTTTATTTCTTGTACTTTGCGCTGTTTAATGGAATCTATCGCGCCATAGATACGATTTTAAGCGAGATCTCGATATCTTCGTTTCGCTCTTTGTCATGAATCAAGAGATACGAAACATGAGAAAGGAAATCGCTCGGGTATTGACGCGAGTAAGCTGAGCAGTAAATAAATCATTTATCATCGGAATATCTATTACTCGGGAGAAGAGAGATCGTTTGAACGATTGGAACGCGTAAACAGGTAGTCGGACGTAAACAAAAGTATGAGGTTACCATTCCTCCCGCTCGGTTCCTAAGTGAACCTCAGCCGTCTCGGCCTCACCCACGTCGGTCATCATTTTTGCTATTAGTTTTTCTCTCTCACCCCACGATTATACGCGTCAGGTGTAATTATTCACATCGGTCTGTAAAGAAAATCGCGTGGGAAAATTGAAAAAAAAGCAACCGTGCGGAATCCCGTGACATTTGGCGTTGTTGAAAACGTGGTGGAAGCTTCAATTTGATGACGCGTTTTGCAAATACACCAGCAGAGGGCAGTGAACATTTCTCTCGCAACATGGCAAATCCTCGTGTTTTCGTTCTGTCGGCTAAAAATTTATTAAACAATTACGGCTTGGCCAAGTATGTATATATATATATATATATATCAATGGAAAACTTATGGTGAAGACGTCGTTTCTCTTTGTGACAATTTTTTCTAAACGCATGGAAAATCGCGTCACACGTATCCCAGGTATACATGCATTCACACGAACGTCACTTGTTTCCAGGTGCAATCTCGCGATTTTCGGATACAGAGAATACAGTGTCTTTCCGAAGAGTTACATTAATCCGACATTCAGGAAAGATGAGCAGGAAACATTGCTTCAAAGCGAAGAGGCCAAAATAGTCAGTCATTCTTTGATCCGACCGGCATTGACGACTGATACATCCTCCGAATTTTACGATCCTATAGTGCTGTGAGCAATCATCCGAGTTTGTTTCTAATCATATTCTTGCACGTTCGGTAAACTATTCACCACTACTTTTATTCACATTTGTCTTCAGGAAATTCATAAATGTTCTTATGAAAAAGGGGAATAAAGTATTGGCAAAATTTCTGGTGACCAAAGCTTTCGAGAATGTCAAGAGAATACAGATTCAACATTATCACAAGGCAATGGACGAAGAGAAGAAGAAGATCGAGCTGGACCCATTTTCGATCTTTCATCATGCTCTCACCAATTGTACACCAGTTTTGCATTTGGAATCGTATAAAAAAGGTGGAATCAAATATCAGGTAATACATATGATGAAACATATTCTGATTAGATACACGGAGAAAATATTTGGATCAATTTTCCAGGTACCAGCACCAATTAAACCCAAATTAGCACAGCATATAGCAATGAAATGGTTGATAGAGGCTGCTAATAGTAAAGAACATGAGGAGAGATTTTACACTACATTAGCCAGGGAATTAGTGTTGGCTTCTCAGAATCAGGTTTATAAATTGGAGGATTTTAAAACAAATTACTTCTGTATTTATATATATATATACACAACATATTATATATATATATTTATATATATATTATTACAGGGTGGTGCTGTTAGACGGAAACTGGAATTACACAGGAAGTGTCATGAGAACCGGGCTTACGCGCACTTCAGGTGGATGTAGATGTAGTAAACGTAGACTTTATATATAAATAAAATAATTAAAAAATGCAACGACTATGTACAGCGAATATATTTCTGGGAATTATGAAACCATTCCTAGTATGCATTTAAAACTCTTGACATCCGTTATCTTTCCAAATCTCATGTTTATTTTTAATTTCTGCTTTTGTGAGGCAAACGAAATCATTTTGTAGAGAGAATCAGTGATACGAAGCTGACTGTCTGATAGGGGTATCACATCATCCATGTTGGTCTTCAGATCTATCCTCTTTCCCCAGTAGTCCGTGTAAGACAATATCACTTTTTCTTCCTCCAGATTTATGTATACCAGTCCTACGAGATTATTGCACAGGATTGCGGTAGTGTGTAGCCATGATGTTAATATGAGCACTATGGAACAAAACCAAGAAAAAACATTTATTCATTGAGCAACGATTGCTGGACTTTTATGTATAATTTAGAATTATCTTACCGCTACATATCGATGCACCAGCTACGTCAAAGGAAATGACATTCGCCAACTGAAGTCCCGTGAATACAGGTACAACCGCGCCGGTGAGATAAGTGAACCGAAGTTTCACAGAATTTAGAGTACCAACTTGCGCGATGTAGGGAAAGAAGTAGATCAACTTGTAGCCGGGAAACTTTTTTGAAGTGAGTTCCATTGTTTGTTTCTCTACATCTTTTTTCGTTGCGTGACTTAATGTGCTACATTGAAGCCTGATGCTCGTTAAAACGCGGTACAAAGACCGCTCGCAGAGTTTCATCGCAATTCGAGGATACATTGGAGGTTATGTCATAGTACATTAAACAACTCCAACTGCGCTCACCGATAAAGAGGTTATAATATCATGCTGTTGTAGTAGGGTAGATGCGTCGAAATTTTCTGTAGGAAGAATCACAAGTATGTCCTCTTTACTAGTAATGTATTATACTTTTCTTTTACTTTTTTTATTTTTCCCCCCCTCGCCCTTTACATTTGAAATATAAAATATAACCATGTAATTTGAAAGAGAAAGATAAGAAAAATGGGCATTTTTGCATGAAACTAATAGAAGAGGCAATTTTGAAGAGAGTAAAGCTTATTATAAAATTTGTCATTTTTCCCTTTATTTTATTTTCTATTCTCATATTTATTTATATATCAATATGTATGGAAAATAATTGCGAGAGAGAGAGAGAGAGAGAGATGCAGTATCGGTAGATACATTTATAACGTATAACACAACAAACCACTGATTTTCCGTAAAGAACCAGACTACACTTGTACATAACGCTTCTCACATCTATCTCTCACACATCTAATTTTGATCGTTACTTTTAAACTATATTCATTTATCCGTCTAAACCGTCCTCTACCGCGAAACATGTCGCGGTCGGTCGCATCGAATATCGAATTTCCGCGCGCTAGCGGCCGAGAGGTCGCCGTCGCCGCGCATGCGCGCACGCAATTCCGGTTCGCGCGTTGGCGTCACTGTTACTCGACACTCAGCGGCGCCGTCGTCGGCGCATTGGCATCACTGTCACCCCGTCGCTCGTCCGTTAGCCATGTTCCACGGTCGGGAGTTCGTCGTGCGAAAATGCTCGTCGCGGGCGTGAGAGCCGACTCGTCGTGTTATCGCGCGGCTCGACGGTAAGGTCCGCGACACACACACACACACACACACAGGCGAGTGGCATGTGTTCGCCCTGCCGACGGGAGGACATTGCGCGCGTGCGGTGGTCGTCGTGCAAGGCGAAGGTGGGATCTCGGTGAAAAGCCTTTATCGCGCTAAAGGGAGTCTGTGTGTGCGACTCAGCCGCCGCCTGACCCAATGGAGCCGCGTTCTCTAGCCGCGCCGCTGGCTTTGTTGACAGTGCTCGCATGGGGTGAGTCCTCTGACAGTCAACTACTGAGCGTTGTTATCGCGCGTTGCGCCAATTATTTCCACCTGTCTGCCTCTCGTTCCGCGATACACACGCGTGCGTGCAGTCCGAGCTCGCTCATCCGAAAATATGCTCCCGTCCGTTCGTTCGCTTTTTCGCCCGGATGTCGCGGAATTCCCGAATATATATAAGCCCACCCTCCGCCGGCATTTCCGCGCGAATGCGCGCCGAAAAGCCGCGTCGCCGGCGGCAGCCGCGATCGACCTGTCAACGAGCGCGCGATCCGTGAGATGCAGGCGTCGCGGAGCGTAGTAGTGGTGGTGCGGTATATACTGTAGCAATAGCAGCAATAAATAGAAAAAAATCGATCGTTATTTAAAATCCGCGTCGATAGCCGCGCGCTATTCCGCCGTGTTCGGCCGCGCTTTGTCCGCGATTTAACGTGGCGCGTACTCCGGACGGCGAGGCTACGAAGGAGAGAGAAATCGGAGCATACGGGGGAGTGAAGTAAACGCAATCGGACGAGTTTCAGTTTCACGTTGCTCACACGGTCCTCGATCTCGGTTCGCTCGCTCGTCCCTCCCGGAGAAAGAGGCCGATGCGTGTCTCAGTCTCGCGCTTTCCGCTTCGGATTTCCTCCGTAATCACGCGCCGACACGTGACAACGGAAGGATGCTGCCGTCGCATGCGAGAGTAATCGTCTCTCTCTGTATCGCGGGAAGTGACGGTATTTCTCGCGTTTGCCGATCGAAGGCGCGAATTCTGCCGGCCGTTTCGCTCGTCGAATCAGACGCGAAATTGTCGAATTGGCCGTTTCGAGTGCCGCTTTGTGCGCGCCGACGTACCTTGGCGAAGGTCGAGTTGAGAGACCCTGCGCATCGGGTGACTATTATTGATGCAGGGAGAAAGAGATAGAGCGAGAGGCCGAGAGAAAGAGAGCGAGGAGGAGGAGGAGGGGAGAGAGAGGGAGGCGAACGAGAAGATTACGCCGGCGCGGGGGGGGGGGGGGACTTTTTTCGGGGGGTATTTCCTGTTGATACGGATCAGGGGNTGTATTTCCTGTTGATACGGATCAGGGGGCTGTGAGCGAAATCGGCTTTTCCGCACCTCGCCCCGTTGATTACAAATCGTGGCCGATGATTTTCACGCCGGATAAACTCCTCGTCACTCCCTCTTTCTCTCAGCGAGAGATCGCGCGAACGAAATTAATCGCGTGCGATCCGCGCGATTATCCGTCCCGCAGCCGACGATCTCCTGTGCGTACATACACACAGCCACGTCGGTTTAATATTTAATATTGAATATCGCAGTAACGCAAGCACACCGATCGATTTCGCTTCCCCGAACTGGCGCTTCTCCGGGAACCGCTCGACCGGAGCTTGCCCGGCTACTCGGCGTCGGGAGAGCACCTCGTCTCGCGGGGATTGATCGGGCGAGATTTGATTTTGGGGGGCGAGAGGAATTCGGCGAGGCTCGCCTCCCGGGGGACCGACGTGTCAATGCGCTCGACTGTGTGCATACACGGCGCAGCATCCCCGAAGCCGCGGCGGCTGTAACGGCGCGGTGCAGTCAGTGCCCTTCGGCAACGCGGCGGCGATAAATTGACGTCGCCCGGACGACGGGGCGACGACGACGGGAGGGAGTCGGGGGGGCGGCTCATTGTTGCGTTGCGAGCGTTTGCGAGCGGCCGGGCCGTTGCGACCGGCGTCTCGTATTAAAGATTCATTGAGGAGGTTTTACGGCTCGCACACAGGAGGCTCGGCTGCTACGGCGGCAGCACGCGCAGCTCCGAGGAAATGAGAGAGCGAGACATTCCGCCGGGGCCCCGGAGAGCGAGCGAGCAAGCGCCCGGTTTATCGCGCTCGCGAATCGCGCGCAGTAAACATTCGAACTCTTGCCGATGCCTATCTCGCGACACACTGTGTGCTTCTCGCGGATACAAACTCTCTCGACGGCACACCGTCGTCGTCGTCGTAGCACACCGAACTCGGCGATCGCCGATTTCGACTGTCGTCCCCGCTCGCTCTCGGCTCGTCAAAAGTTGGGCATACACGGAAAAATACATACTGCATTCAAATAAATATATAATAAATATTGTTTTAGGTTATTTTATAAGTTTATACATCCTCAAGTAATATCATATAATATATATGTAAATCGTGTTGCATATGTAATATGTAAATTTTGTTACATAAGTTCATAAGCATCAGATTTCTTCAAAATATATTCTGCATTCTGCTAAGTTTAATACTTCAGTCAGAATATATTAAAATATTAAAACTAAAACTTCGGTTTTTTCGTTCCAGTGAGCTGAATTTAACTTATCCTCGTTTTAGTTTCTAATGTTCTTGATAGAAGTACACATTTTTCTTTCGAGTAAATGGTAATGAGCTTTTCTAATATTTGTGATATATTTTAATACCATTGTTAAGAAAATATTTTTTGTTCAAGATAAGCATTATTTAAATGAAAAAAAAAAATAAACTGAGTAATTGCTTTTTTTCTTCTGTATGATAATATTTTTCGCCGTGTGTATCGTTGAGCGAACGAAACAAGGAACGAACAACGAATGCAAACTTTCGTTGTTACAAACGAATCCAAACAGAACGTCTCGGATCGATTTGCTCATAAGGTGGTTTATCGGAGGAAGTTCATGTGCGTGTATACGTGAATATACGCATTCATATTACGCATTTGTTGTTCGTTCGTTGAAAGAGAGAGAAAGTAGAGTTTTAATTTCAGTTCTACCAATTTTATTTGTTCCTACTTTCAGACCCTGATGATTTTAACGTCAAAATAGGCTGTTCATGGTAGCATTAAAAGTAAATCTGTAGAATTAAGCGTTAGTATCGTCAAAATAGGTTTTTATTAGCCTGTAGACCGTTCAAGTTGACGTAAACTATCCTTAAGGTAATTGGTGTGTCAAACCATTTTCTTAGGAAACCTTTTAAATTTTAGCTGCATATTGATGGAAGTACTATCTATACGTTGAAATATTCTACAAGTTGAAATATATTCGCGATTAAAGATGACACTTTTTATACGCATCCTTGAGATTAATGACTCATTTTTTAATTCTAAGTTTTAAATTCCAATTTCTTTGAAACCACATTCGGGATTTTCATGAAAAACTACTGATATTAAGGACTACTTGATATTGATTTGATATTAAGGACATTAGTCCTTTATATTAATAGAGGCATTACACAAAAATTTCAGAATCGTTGACCATTTTATTTTGAAAATATAGGCAGTTAGAAAAAATAAGTAATATCTTCGTGTTTGTGTATTTATAATGCGTAATTATAAATATTATGCGTATTTATTTTAATTTCGAGCTTGAAATTAACATTTTTTACTTCGATAGCCGAATAAAATTGTAAGAAAAGTATTTTCCTCAGTAAGCGATAAACTTATAGGTGCTCCTTAATATCGCCACTGAAAATCCGGTACTCTACGAATCGACTACTTTAAGAGCGCCAAAGTAGCGTGAAAATTCGACTTGGGAAATGTCTTTGCTCTTGACTCGGCAAAAGTGCGCGACACGATACTCTTGATTGCAACTTTCTCGTGGAAAGCGAGAAGTCGTTTTTTTTTCCTTTTTGCACAACGCGCGAAATTTCCGCGCGCGATCCCGTTCGTCTCCTGCGTGTCTTCCGAGCGTCGCGAATACATCTTCGCATGAGAGAGAGAGAGACGACGCTACCTGGTGGCGTCGTGACATCTGTTCGGCGAGGTTCGCGAAGTTCTTCGCGGGGCGTGCCTTGTGACTCTGCGGTAGATCTCGCCGCGGCGATTAGAAACGAATCAGACCGGGGGCCAATTAAGGACGGTAACGAGAAATCGCTTTTAGGCTTCCCGGTTTTTATTATTACGACGACGACGGCGACGGCAAAAAGAGTAGTGGCAACTGTCGAAGCTCTCGGCGCGAAAACTCGTTTCGCGCTCGAGCGAGAGATATTCTTTTGAGGATTTCCTCGGGTAGCGCAGCGGCTCGCTTTATTCGCTTTTCCACGCTCAGAAACCGTTTCGTCGCGCATTCGATCGTGTAGTTAGCTATCGGTGAAAGCCGCGGCGGGTTTCGTGAATTATTCCGCACGGGAGTGCGCGAGCTCGAGCGCGCGCGCGTTTCTGCCTGCCTTGCGTTAAATGTTGAATTATGCGATACGCTCGCGATGTCGCTCGGGTACCTCGTCGCTGCTCAGCATCTTCGTACTTTGTTAGAATCGCGTTGCAGAGATCATTGCTACCGGTTTCTCGCGGTGAAATCTCCGGAGCGAGATGGAATATCCTCGGGATATTTTTAGGATGATGATTTTTAGGATTCTCTCTTCCTTTCTTCTCTCTCACCGTCTCTTTCAACCTTCTGTCCAATTATATAAGTACGCAGGCTTGCCGCAGATCTGGAAATACCGGGAAAACTTGTGGAAATTTAAAATTCCGGGGAAAACCCGGAAAAGTCGGAGTGAAAAAGTTGTGAACTTTGCTCGTAATTCCCTTAAGCGCTCTCGACTGTGTTCTTTTTTTCCATTTTCCGCTCATTTATTTTTTGCTGGACTGAATTTGCATTCAGGGTTATATTATGTTGTTGAACTTTTGAGTTTGTGTTGCTCTTTTAATAATAATATAAGCTACTTTTCCTGATATCCCTGCTTCTAAAAGCTAAAGATCATCTATTGCGCATGGAAAATGCCCCACTGTCGTCTGGAAAACATGGGAGAATCAGCGGGTAATTTCAAAATTCATTTTCTGCGACCCTGGCATACATTTTTATTATGAAACATTTTATATTATAAGTATCCTCGAGAAGTGTTTGAAATATCTTTCTCTTCGCTTCCTTTATACTTTGGCATTGATATTCTTTTTCTCGCCGTCCACAGCCTCGCAATTTACTTCCTCAAAGCCTTTTGTCACTTCGCAAAAAAAAAAGAGAAAAAAGGAAAAAAAACCGGTGGCCTTTTTCGTTCTGTTTTCTTGCGATTTCAAAGAGCACACCGAAACAT